TACTTGAATGTTCTGCCTTCTTTCCTTGACATTAAATTATAATTGGACATTCTTGGAAGTGAGGTTTTCCTAAAGGAAACTTACAAAGAAATGTTTAATGTATAGAGGTGGGTATAATTTACATAAAGGAGGACTATTAGAGACTCAAGTTCCATATGTAGTGTACCTTAATTCCTTTAGAAAGTAAAGCAACTTCTTAACATGCTCTCTCTATTCTACTCTTAAATTCTCCATTTAAGCCCTAAAATCCTTAAAACTTTGCAAATAACATGCTTTTGTTTTCTTTTCCTGAAAACTTATTAAAGACTAACATAATACATCATAAGTGATATGACACTTTTTACAAACAGACAGATATGGAGGGGAAAAATTCTGTAAAGTATAATGCAGGTCATTAGTGGAACCTTTTTGTTATTTTTATATTCCCTGTGAATCTGGGAGTTCAGTTAATGTCATCTGTCAGACACTGAGGCTTATATACTCCATAAGTCCATTTCTTGCAGAACAATGGGTAGATAGTATACAATTGTATGTTATAGGTGTGTTGCCATACTAATAACATCACCAAATTAAGAAATGATCTAATGAATTTCTTAGTTTTTTTAAAATATATTTTATTGATTTTTTTATAGAGAGGAAGGGAGAGAGGTAGAGAGCTAGAAACGTCAATGAGAGAGAAACATCGACCAGCTGCCTCTTGCACACCCCCTACAGGGGATGTGCCACAACCAATGTACAGGCCCTTGACTGGAATCGAACCTGGGACCTTTCAGTCCACAGACCGACACTCTACCTCTGAGCCAAACCGGTTTCGGCGAATTTCTTAGTTTTAATGACTGAACTAATCTGTTAAGATTATGAAATGACAATTAGAACTTCTTTACCCCATTACCTTTTTCACCCAACCCAAATAAAGCATAAGGAATGTAGCCAATAATATTGTAATAAGGAATGTAGCCAATAATATTGTAATAATTATGTATGGTGTTAGGGGGATACTAGACTTATTGGGGTATCACTTCATAAGTTATATAAATGTCTAATCACCATGCTGTATACCTGAAACTAATATAATATTGAACATTAACTATAATTGAAATAAAAAGATTTTAAAAGATTATGAAAGAAATGACAGCTTAGTTCTCTAGAAGATATAATTAAATATAGCAGACATAATTAAAGGAGATACAAAGATATAAACCTTTGGATAGAGTTTTGCAGGCTTAACTGAAAATTAGTTTACAGTATAAAATTGTAAGTTAATTATTTAGAGGAAATGTTAAACTTTTTGCACATTCATTAGTTGGTGGTATATTTATTTAACAATTTATTTTATTTTGGTTTTCACAGCAATTTTGTCTTTTAATAAGAACGTCACATACTGTTACCAAATTAGAAATCTTAGGAACGCATAATCTTAGAGATAAACAGAAGGTAGTTTTTACAGAGTTCTAATTAATGATTTAGAAATGTAATTCCCCTTCTTTTGATATTAATTGAAGTTTCATAATTATAAAAAGCATTTATTTTAAAAGTGTCACCTCTGGAAGATGATGTTATTAAGAAGAACACTTAAACTTTCTGGTATTCTATATAATCTTTGGAAGTATTTCTTCTAAGAAATATTTGTCCCAAAAGGCATACATAAAGCTTTGATATAGTCAAAGCCCTCAAAGCTTTAGACAGTATACCAATTCTAAATATCCAATGCGAATTCTATATATACTATATTTTCATCTAGATTTTTTATCACTGTAGTAGAATATGTAGCTTCTGTAGGTTCTTTTACAAAAATTAGAAATATTATCTGTATAGTTCCTCAGGAGACTGGGTATCCTGATAAATCAATACATGAAAGAACATTTAATATCAATTTATGAAGGCAGGTAATATTTGATTAAGTGTAGAGTATAACTAGTCAAATAAACTTATGTTTTTTCTGATCTTTTACTTTTTGTCTTGACTTCAAAAATAATGAAAACTAGTGACAGAGCATTGTGATAGAAAACCTGTTACTGTGATTTTAGAATAGAGTCAAAGATGTGAGTATTGTACTTTTTAGATAAATATTTATAAGTATATGAACATTATTTGCTGTCTTCTCCAGGAGATGTGTCAGAATATCTCATATTGGTTTAACATATAGAAATATGTTACCATTCTCTTTATTATCTGTCAATTATTTACATTTTTTATCTTTACCAGTTTTCAGAGTGAGTGTTTTGCCTTAAACAGTATCTTTTTTTAGCCTCACAATTATCTGATGAAACAGGAGATTACAAAATTATTATAAAAATCAATTCTACACCCCTAGACAGTTTGGCTTAGTGGCTCAGGTGTCAGCCCTCTGACTGATGGGTTGTGAGTTCAGTTCTAGTCAAGGACATGAACTTCAATTGATGGCTTGATCTCCATCCCTGGTCAGGGCACCTGCAGGAAGCAACCATTCAATGTGCCTCTCTCATATCAATGTTTTTCTCTCTATATCTTTACTACTCTCTCTAAAACTCAATGGGAAAACATATTTAGGTAAGAAATAAACAAAAAAATTACAATATATTAAAACTCTAGTATTTTTTCTTATAGTGTCTCTAGATGGCATGTTATAGTATAAGGCTATTAATTTCATTTAGGTTTCATTGAAGATGGAATAAATCACTTTGCATAGATAAATTAATTTTGATCAAATTTAACTTTCTGTTTTCCTGTGCTTGGACTCATTTTTTCCTAAAAAAAAAAACACCACACCATTTGTTATATATGTTACACTTTCAGGTTAACAATAAAATATTAATAGTTCTGATGTCTGATGATGGTACTTTTGGTTTTAAAGGAACAGGTTTCTCTCATATAAGCTGTAGGAGAAAACAGGGTGGTAAGAATTTAAATCAATGATCATGATTACCTTGGGGAATTTAAGGGTAGAAAGGAGAGTTAATACTTAGGAGGAATTGGAATCAGAAACCTGAGGAGAAAATATTTTTATCCATTTCTCTAGAGGTTATTATCTTTTATTTTTACTTCATTTATGTATAGCTTTATTCTGCCTCTCTAAGAAAAAGACAGAATTGGGTTTTCGTAGTTCCAGGAATCACCTGTCTTCATTTTAAATAAAAAGCAGGGGGAAAAAACTGTTCTGAATTCTAACTCTAAATCCTCAAGAAAGAAAATATGATTGCCCCAATTTAGGTCAATTGCCAGTTGCCTAAAACCAAGGTACTGAGTAATATAGCACCTGAGCAGCATTTGTTTGTGAAAAAGTAGAGGCAAGGAAGACACTTCATACTTGCCCTTATACTTAAATATACATTGTGAAGTTTGAAAACGGGTCTCACTATGACTTCCCTTAAGCATACATGCACCTAATGAAGCAACACCCTCCCCCTCAATAAAAATGCCTGTATGCTGTGTTTAGTGTTAAATGCAACTGAGACATTATAATTGTATGATTTCTTTTGCTTTGCAGCCAATAACTGCAAAAAGTTCATCAAGTGAATATGTACTTCCCCTTCAAGATATGTCCCTTCAAAATCAATTAGTGCCTTGCAGATCTGGGTATGTTTCTCCAGAAACACTCAACACTCCAAGGTAAGCTTCAGTGATAACCAAGTGTATGTACATAAAATCCTAACTTGGAGTAGAATATATAAATATTTTACATTTATTTTTCACTACATTTTAAATGATATTCATTCCCAAAATAATGGCACATTGATTGGATAGGGATAAGAATATAGTACACTGCCGAAACTGGTTTGGCTCAGTGGATAGAGCGTTGGCCTGCGGACCGAAGGGTCCCAGGTTCGATTCCGGTCAAGGGCATGTACCATGGTTGGGGGTACATCCCCAGTAGGGGGTGTGCAAGAGGCAGTTGATCGATGATTCTCTCTCATTGATGTTTCTAACTCTCTATCCCTCTCTCTTCCTCTCTGTAAAAAATCAATAAAATAAATTTTAAAAAAAGAATATAGTACACTACAAGGCAATTACTTCCAGATGTATTGGAAAATCATTAATACCAGAGTAAACAAATGTCGGGGTTCTTGTCCCAGCATTAAGAAGGGGTTCAGCAATCTGGAGAAAGGCTGTGGGTAGATTCAATAAGCTGTCCAAGGACGAAAGATAGTTTTGAAAGGCATTGGGTGTCAGAGGAGCTTCAGCTAAAGGAGCTAAAGACTTCTCTTGACTCAGGACACTTTGCTTTTTATTAACACAATTTGTCCTAAGGCAAGGTAGAGATAATACACTTCAAAGGGTAGGGTACAGAAGCATTGTCAGATTGGGGAATAGCCTACAGCCGTTCAGGTGGTTGGCCAACAGAATGCAATAACATGTAGATTGAGCTGTCTTGGGATCTCTGGCAGCAAACAATAATCTTATTCAAGTTTTGGGGAAGTTCCTATTAGCTGTTCCAACAGATGATTACATATGTGGGTCAGCCCTTGTTGAGCCCCTAAGCTTCATCAACCTTTTGATGAAACCCTTGTAATTATGATATGCTGGAACTGGCTCCTGGCATATGTACATAAAATCTTAACTTGGAGTAGAACATATAAATAGTTTACATTTATTTTTCACTACAGTTTTAAATGATATTCATTCCCAAAATAATGACACATTGATTGGATAGGGACAAGAATAAAGTACATTGCAAGGCAATTATTTCCAGATATGTTGAAAAACAGTTAATATCAGAGTAAATGCAAGTGAGTGTAAACTCTGCCTATACTGATATTCTTCCAATTTTTTAAATAATAAAGCTAGTGGTGTATCTTGTTTTCTACAGCTTGATAGAAATATGTAACCTAGGGGGATGGTGGGATAATAGAGGGATAAGGAAAATAAAATATAAAATAAAATGTTAAAAAATAAATATGTAACCTATAATATTTTATTACACAAGGTTTTTAACATATAAGTAATGTATTTCCTGACATTTGATTAATATTTTGAAAATGTTCATGTTTGTCTTTTCTTTAAGTCATAAAGATGCAGTTACGATGCCACGTGATGAAGATAAATCTGAAACAGAAGTTTCTGATACCAAATGTTCTGACAATTCAGCTGGTTCTTTAGATTATAAAATTCTTCAAGACCTACTAATAATTGAAAATGTCTCCCCTCTGCCTGATTCTGGTTCTGAAATATGTGAGATTGATTCTGACTCAGATAGAGGCATTGGTTTGGACTATGATTTAGAACAACAATGGCAAGACTCTGATTCCGTAATATGGGGAATGGGTTCAGACTCAGAAATGTGTCCCATACCCTCAGACTCTGTGAAACACCTGCTAGAACCAGAAAGATACCCGAGGGCTTCAGATTCTGTAAAAGACCTGATGGAGTCAGAGCAACACTTAGTGGAAGTTGAACAATTTCAGGTGGACTATGACTCTCTGAAATACTGGGGTGATTCAGATTCAGAAAAATGTTTGGAATATTCTGACTCTGAAAAATGTTTGATGGACTCTGACAATGAAAGACCTGAGATAGCCTCAGATTCAGAAAAATGCCCCATTGCTTCTGTGTCTGTGAAACATCTGAAGGCAGAAAAATTCCAAATGGCATCAGATTCTATAAAGCGCATGATAGACTCTGAAAGAAGTTTGATGGATATTAAACAACACTGTATTGTTTCTGAGTCTGAGGAGTATGTGGTGGATTCCAGCATGGAAAAGGATAAAATTGGTTCAGCTTCCGCATCTGGTGTACATCTTACAGGGAAAGAAAAATACCAGGAGAAGACTAGATCTAAGAGGTATAGAATGGACTCGGACTCTGAACCATGCAACGTTGACTCGGCCTTAGAAAGACATGCACTGGCTACAGCAGCTGCAAAATGTCTCGTGGGGACTAAAATATACCAGTTGAGTACTGATACTGAGGGACACAGGATGGATTTTTCGTCTGAAAGGCACACAATGGACTTAGATTCTGAAAGCTTAGGAAGAGCCTCTGATTCAGTGAAACACATGATGAAAGCTAAACGTTGCCAGAGTAAACCTGAATTGGAAAGATTCTGGATGGACCTCAAGTGTGAATCTGAAAAATCTTTGACTGACTCTGAAAGGCAACAGTTGGAGTTTGACTATGATAGATGCAGGGATAGCTCTAGAAGATATCAACATCCATCTGCAAGATTCCAAGGTAGCTCTGAAAGATGTCAGGTTGACTTTAAAAAACAATGGGATAACTTTGAGAGCCATCAACTAGACTCCAATTCTAAAAAGCATCCAGCAAATTCTGAAAATGAAAAATCTAATGAGTTTGAAAATGAAAGACACATGATGGAGAGAGAGGGTGAACAGTGTCTGATACAGTTTGAAAACAAGAGACTTCAATTGGATGAAGAGCAAGAAAATTATGGCATAGTTTCTGACTGTGAAAAAGAGCAACAGATTACGCCAGACAATGAAAGACAGCACCTTGACTCAGAAAATGAAGCACAAAGGCTTGGTGCTCGCAAAAAGGATAATCGTCCACCCGGTAAGCTAAAATGTGTGTGGGTTTTGAAAGAAGCTTGTTTACAACTTTATTTTTTTCTTTATTGATTAAGGTATTACAACATTAATTAGTAATTAGTAATGTGATGATACTTCCACAATGGCATTAGTATTAATACATTTGGGCCTGAGAAAATTTTCTCAGAAATTTAGAGAAAAAGCATCTTAGTCCCATTTCTAATTCACTTTTAAAAATTAGACAAGTCATCTCTCCTTAGCTATCTGTTTTATCATCCTACCTAATAAAAGAGTAATATGCAAATTAATCACCACTCCACTATACCAACAAGCCATGCCCACCAGCCAATCACAGAGAGTATGAAAATTAACCCAACCACGATGGCTGCCACCACAGAGAGCAGGAGGAAGGCTTGGGTTTCCCCTACAATGAAAGAACAAAGTTTTCCACACACCCTGGCCAGCCCAGGCTTCCACTCAAGGATACAAAGTTTCAGTTATAGAAGATAAATCCCAAGAAAAATGGCAGTAGCCATGGAGCTGGAGAGAGCAGGCTAGGCTTTCCCCTGGTGATGGAAGAAGCCAAGTTTTTCACCTGCCCTGGCTGGCCTAGGCCTCCATTCCAGCCTACAAAGTTTCAATTATAGAAGGTAAACAAATTCCAACAGAAATAGCTGCCACCACAGAGCAAGCAGAAGGCTTGGATTCGCTCCAGGCTACAAAGTTTCAATTGTAGAAGATAAATAAACTCCAGATACCAGGGCCTCCGCTTTGGTCGCTGGGGGCATGGCTGGCCTGCAAACCACCACAGGCCCCTCGTCCAAGCCGCCCATGCCCCAAGGGAACCCCCACCCTGATCCTGGACACCCTGGGCAAACTATCTGGCCCCCACCCATGCACCAGGCTTCTATCCTATCTAATAAAAGAGTAATATGCAAATTGACCATCACCCCAACACACAAGTTCAAGATAGCTGCCCCCATGTAGTCAAAGATCCTGCCCCCATGTGGACACAAGATGGCCAGCAGGGGAGGGCAATTACGTGGGACAAGGCCTGCAAAGGAGGGTAGTTGCGGCGGGGGTGGGGGGAGGCCTGCAGGTGAGGGCAGTTAGGGGTGACCAGGCCAGCAGAGGAGGGAAGTTGGGGGCAAACAGGCTGGCAGGGGAGCAGTTAGACATCAGTCAGGCTGGCAGGACAGTGATTAAGGGGTGATCAGGCTGGCAGGCAGAAGTGGTTAGGGGCAATCTGGAAGGCAGACAGGCGAGCAGTTGGGAGCCAGCAGTCGTGGATTGTGAGAGGGATGTCTGACTGCCCGTTTAGGCCCGATCCCACTGGGGCATCCCTCAAGAGATCCCAGATTGGAGAGGGTGCAGGCTGGGTTGAGGGACACCTCCAGCCCTGTTCATGAATTTCATGCACCAAGCCTCTAGTCTTAATATAAAAGAAGTAAAATTAAAGAAGTATTAACAAAGGTGTATATTCTGGCCTAGGAAACAGCATGTTGAATTTATCTCCCATCATTCTGGAATGGGCAAATAGAGATTGTTCACAAAATTGTCTCATTTTTGGTTACTGTGAAAAGAAATATCCAAGCTTAACTATATAAACATTTAACTTATCTTGCTTCACTCCAAGTTCTTATAAAAGCTTCATAACTCTAAATAAATGATTGGCATTTACTTTGTTAAACGTATTTACTTTATCACACTAAATCACATAATTCTCCATTTCCTAAGCCCTTTAATTAAGGTATGCTTGCTATGATAAAGGAACTATTTTTATCTCAGATGTTTTTCTACATATTAGTTATTTCCCACAAAGCATTTTAGCTGCAACTCAAAACACAAAAATAAAATTAAGAACTCATCCCCCAAACATTGGTTAAGACACCTTCCCTTTGAAATTATAACAAGAAGTTACATGCCTCAATAAGCCTCAGTCAGTTTTTAAAAACAAAATATTTGAAATAATATATATTTAATGTTTTATCAGTATTTTGTTATTTTTTTAAAATATATTTTATTGATTTTGTACAGAGAGGAAGGGAGAGAGATAGAGAGTTAGAAACATCGATGAAAGAGAGTCATCGATCAGCTGCCTCTTGCACACCCCCTACTGGGTATATGCCCGCAACCAAGGTACGTGCCCTTGACTGGAATCGAACCCGGGACCCTTCAGTCCCCAAGCCGATGCTCTATCCCTTGAGCCAAACTGGTTTCGGCAGTATTTTGTTATTTTAATATGCTATTTCTGCACAAGTCTTAAGAATTTGTTCTATATAATACTGAATTTTCCTTTTCATATGTTTAAAGTAGGGTGGACTAATAATTTTAATAAAAATAAAGTATACTATATATTTTCAGTTACCAACACAAACTGTTATCCTCAAGCCATTACTAATTCACTTGAAGCAACTGTGTGATTTTTTTTTTAATTAGTGGAAAATATACAACTGAATTTTTAAAATATATTTCCTGAGAAAAACCATCTAATTTCTAATTAGAAATGTAATTCTATTGGAAAACATCAAGTAGTGAAATTGATTTCTGAAATCTTCTTATAAAACAGCATATTGGTGAGGTAGTGATAAAGGTGTGTTACCTTATATGAAGAGGGGAAAAACCTTAAAACAATGTTATCATTGCATTTGAACTTACTAACACAAAATTAATTCTCCCTTAATTCAGTATTATTCTGTCATAATAATATTAGTAATCCCGTAAGAGTTGCATTAATTGGAACAGAGATTCACATTCTCATCTAGCTTCAGTTTTTAATATTTTCAAACACCATCTGACAAATTTCCAGTGAAACAGCACAACTAACTTCTCAGGGTCTCAACTGTGTTGTCATCTGTCATTTTGTCAGATGCTTACTAGATGCTCCGCATATCTAGAATAATAATCTATAATAATAAAAGGGTAATATTTTAATTAGACTGGCATTTCTTTTAGACGCCATGCTGCACTTTCTTCCAGGCAAAGCCAGGGCCAGAAGGAATCCAGCCCGGGCCCTTGGTGCTGGCGGGAGATTGGTGCAACAGCTGAGGGAAGGATGGCCTACTCTTGCATGACTTTCGTGCATCGGGCCTCTAGTATTATAATAAATAAATAAATAAATAAATAAATAAATAAATAAAAGCACTATATCTTAAATATATATAGCACCTTTCATAGTGCATTACTGTAAAAATAATAGTAGCATCTGATACCTATTTAGTGTCAAGTACTATACTACACAAGTTACATGCATTATTACACCTAAGCCCATTCACTATTGTTATATCCCTGTACCATTCATTCTAAGCATTTTACATATACTAATTTGCTATTATAAATACAATAGTAGAAATTAATTAATACTAATTTACCATATATATGAGTCAGGATGTGAACCTGTGTTCCAAAACCTGTTCTGTTAAACATGAAGACATACTATCTTTCAGCTCTAAACATATCTACTATCCCAATTTTACAGTGAGGATAATGAAGCCAAAATGTTCATGTGACTTGTCCTGGAATTTGACCCTCGGTTTATCTGACTCCAGATCCTGAGTTATTAATCAAGTTTAATTATGTTACTTATATTTAAACCCCTGTTTAATCTCATGATCTGCTACTATACTATAGCATTACTGTAACTGCTGCAAAATGAGAAAACTGAGGCTCAAGAAGACTACGTCACTAAATGTTACATACATAATTATCAGCATAGAAACACCTAGCCTAGTGTTATTTCAGCTATATCTGTGACTTCATGAAGTTTATAATCTAATTGAAAATATATTATTCCATATGAAACTAGTTGATGAAGTATATTTTCTCTGGGTCTTGTTTTTGTAAAAAACGTTGACATATTTTAAATATTTGCAATTGGACTGTAATAATCTAATTTGTGGTTCATTAATACATTCATTGACATATGACCAACCACAGGTGAGATGCCTTTACAAGCATAAAACTAAAAGTTTGCTAGATGCTTTTACCCATTTTCATCTGTCATACATTGAAAATATAAATTGATAGACTAACTATGATTTTTTAAATCTTAGAAATAAAACTGAAGGCTGTGGATATAAAAAAGATGTTCTTTAAACTACTTATCTCATGTTCATTCCCAAATGAACAATATATTCCTTTTAAAGTCAGCTTACACAGTGTCTGTCCCGTCTCTGTGTCATCTTATAGTAAAGAGATATGAGGAAAAGAGTCTTTGTTGCATCTCTTTGCTCCTGTGTCTATGGACCCTGAATAGTAATAGCCCTTAGCCTAGCCAGTGTGGCTCTGTGGTTGAACATTCACCCATGAACCAGGAGGTCAAGGTTCAATTCCTGGTCAGGTCACATGCCCTGGTTGCGGGCTTGATCCTCGGAGGGGGACATGTAGGAGGCAGCCTGTAATTATTCTCCATCATCATTGATGTTTCTCTCCCTCTCCCTTCTATCTGAAATCAATAAAAAAAAATTTAAATATTTTTTCTCTTAAATAAATGATCAATTGCTCATTTTTATTTTATCTTTTCTTTACAATTTTTTCCCCCTGAAAACAGTCCAGAGTTCATTGATAATATTAACTCATTTTCTCAATTTCTACCCTTACAAGATATAATAGTGTTTAGAATTTGTTGCACTTTAAATATTTATACAATGTATTGTCTTTTGGGGATAGTTGAATTGCAATCTCCATTCTATCTGACATGAACACATGACTATATACTCTCAGCCCCATACTTCACTGTAGCTTACTCTTAGCCATTTTTTTTTAATTTTTAAGAAATTGTGATAAAATATACATAAAGTAAAATTTACTGTCTTAACTATTTTAATTGTACAGTTCAGTGGTGTTAAGTGCATTCATATTGTTGTGCAACCAGTCTCCAGAAGTGTTTTTTTAAATCTTGCAAAGTAAAAATCTATAACCATTAAACAATAGTGCTCTATTTTTCCTTCCCCCATTCCGTCAACCACTACTTCAAATAGCTCATATAAGTATCTCAGATAAAGTATTTTCTTTTTGTGCTTGGCTGTTTTTTGTTAGTATAATATAATATTCTTGAGGTTTACCCATGTTGCTATATGTGTGTAAATTTTTTCTTCTTTTTAAAGCTAAATAATATTTTATTATATGGATATATCACACTTTGTTTATCCATTTATACATCAATAAACATTTGGGTAGCTTCCAACTTTTAGCTATTGTTAATAAAACTTCTATAGATAACAGTATACACATATTTTTTGAGATTCTGTTTTCAATTATTTTGTAAGTAAAATTGTTGGATCATATGGTAATTGTATTTTTAATTTTTTAAGATATTACCATATTGTTTTTATAATGGCTGTACCATTTTATATTCCCACCTATAGTGTACAAGGGTTCCAATTTCTCCACATTTTCACCAAAGCTTATTTTTTTGTGTGTTTTTGAGAGAGTCACCCTAATTGGTACTTGCAGCTAATCTTATATCAAATATTTTATTTATTAGGACAAAAAATAACTAGAAAAAATTTTAGAAAGAGTTAATTGAACATCTGCTGAATTCTTATATGGGAGAAATATATTACCAGTATATAGTGAAATATTTTTAACTTAGTTTTTAATATTGCTTTAATAAACTTCATGAAAATTAGGAAGAGGACTACCATTGACTAATAGATATATTTGAAAGAAATATATTCCAATGCAGAGTAATATAACATAAATTTTACTTTCAACAGTTATTTAATTAGGAATTGGAACATAATTATCTATTAACTATATTTATAGGTTTTTGGAGGCCTGTTTTCCTGTCACCTCCATTTGGCCCAGCAAAGAAAACTGAAGAAAAACACTCTCTGCAACAAACTGGTAACAAAGGTGAGTATATGGTATACAAATTACCTATAATTTTATATGTTCGCTATCAGGTTACCAACAATATTATGTTAGTTTCAGGATTACAATCCAGTGTTTAGACTTTATACAACTTACAAAGTGATCACTCTGATCAATCTAGTATGTACCTAACATTATACATAGTTATTAAAATATTATTGACTATATTGCTTATGCTGTAATTTACATCCCCATGTCTATTCTGTAAATACTAGATAATCCCCTCATCTTTTTAACCCATCTCCCAAAAACCACCTCCCATATGACAGCCATCAAAATGATCTTTGTATCTATGACTCTGTTTCTTTTTTTAATTAAAATTGATTTTATTTTATTTTTTTCCTTATTTTTTAATTAAATTATTATCAGTGTACATATCTTACCATTGCTCCTCCATACATGCCCTCTCTCCCCAGAGTTTTGTGTCCATTGGTTGTACTTATATGCATGTATACAAGTCCTTCAGTTGATCTCTTATCTCCCCCAGATCTCCCTCCACTCCCCTCTGTAATTTGACAGTCTGCTTGTTGCTTTACTATCTCTATATCTATCTTTTGGTTCATCAGTTTATAATATTCTTTATTATCCATAAATGAGTAAGGACATGTGGTGTTTCTCTTTCATTGACTGGCTTATTTTATTCAGCATGATGTTCTCCAATTCCATCTAGGTTGCTGCAAATGATGAGAATTCCTTCTTTTTATGGCAGCATGGTAGTCCATTGTGTAGATGTACCATAGTTTTTTGATCCAATCATCTGCTGACAGGCACCTAGGCTGTTTCCAAATCCTAGCTATTGTAGATTGTGCTGCTATGAACATAGGAGTGCATATATCCTTTCTGATTGGTGTTTCTAGTTTCTTGGGATATAATCCTAGGAGTGGGATTACTGAGTCAAATGGGAGTTGCATTTTCATTTTTTTGAGGAAACTCCCTACTGTTCTCCACAGTGGTTGCACCAGTCTGCATTCCCACCAGCAGTGCATGAGGGTTCCTTTTTCTCCACAACCTCGCCAACACTTGCCATTTGTTGATTTGTTGATGTTGGCCATTCTGACAGGTGTGAGATGGTACCACATTGTTGTTTGATTTCCATCTCTCAGATAATTAGTGACTTTGAGCATGGTTTCATGTGTCTCTTGGCCTTTCTTCTGTCTTCTTTCAAAAAGGTTCTATTTAGCCGGGACCGGTTTGGCTCAGTGGATAGAGCGTCGGTCTACGGACTGAAAGGTCCTGGGTTCGATTCCGGTCAAGGGCATGTACCTTGGTTGCGGGCACATCCCCAGTAGGGGGGGTGCAAGAGGCAGCTGGTCGATGTTTCTCTCTCATCGACGTTTCTAACTCTCTGTCCCTCTCAATTCCTCTCTGTGTAAAATCAATAAAATATATATATATTTTTAAAAGGTTCTATTTAGGTACGTTGCCCATTTTTTATTGGATCATTAATCTTCCTTTTATTTAGTTGTAGAAACTCTCTGTAATACAGTGGGTTTTCTTGTTGTTTTGTTGATGGTTTCTTTTGCTATAAAAAAGCTTTTTATTTTGATGTAGTCCCATTTGTTTATTTTCTCTGTAGCTTCCATTGCCCTAGGGGCAGTATCAGTGAAGTTCTTTTGGCATATGTCTGAGATTTTGCTGCCTGTGGATGCCTCTAGTATTTTTATGGTTTCCCGTCTTATGTTTAAGTCTTGTATCCATTTTGAGTTTATTTTTGTGTATGGTGTAAGTTGGTGATCTAGTTTCATTCTTTTGCATGTATCTGTCCAATTTTTCCAACACCATTTATTGAAGAGACTGTCTTGACTCCATTGTATATTTGTGCCTCCTTTGTCAAATATTAATTGAGCATAGTGATTTGGGTTGATATCTGGGTTCTCAATTCTATTCCATTGATCTATATATCTGTTCTTGTGCCAGTACGAGGCTGTTTTGAGAACAGTGGCTTTGTAATACAGTTTAAGATCTGGTATTGAGATCCCTCCTACTTTATTCTTCTTTCTCAGGATTGCTGTGGCTATTAGGGGTCTTTTATTGTTCCAAATGAACTTTTGGAGAGTTCTTTCTAGGTCAGTGAAATATGCCTTTGGTATTTTAATGGGGAGTGCATTGAACCTATAGATTTCTTTGGGAACTATGGACATTTTGATGATGTTGATTCTACCAATCCATGAACATGGTATGTTCTTCTATCTGTTTATATCTTCCTCTATGAGTCTGTTTCTGTTCTGTTTGTTCATTTATTTTATTCTTTAGATTCTACATATAAGTGAAATCATATGGCATTTGTGTCTGCCTTATTTAAGCCAGGACATATGGTAACAGAGATACCCCAGATAAAATTCAGTTATAATGGTTCTCTAGAGGGATTTACTGAAATCAACATATAGTAGTTACTCATGACTATGATTTACTATAGTAAAATGATACAAAATGCAATAAAATCAATAAAGGAAAAGAGGTACGTTAAGTGAAATCTAGTAGAACTATGTGCAAGATTCCAAGAATCTTTTCTTAGTATAATCACACCAGACTTATTCCATTCATCCACCAAGTTATAACAACACATATGAAGTTGTCTGCCAAGGAATCTCATGAGATTCTCAGTGCCATTGTGTTCTTTTTTAAAGAGCTTTTTAAAGATATAATTTACCCACTAAACCAGAAAATTTGATAGTTTTAGGTATATTCACAGATATGTACAGCCATTACAGCAGTCAATTTTAGATCATATTTGTCACCATAAAAGGTAAGCCATGCTCTTTGGTTTGGCTTCACCCACCTATGCTGCACATTACCCCTATAAGAAACCACCAATTTACTTTCTATATCTAAAGATTTCTCTATACTGGACATTTCATATGAATGGAATCATATAATACATGGCCTTTTGTGACTGCATTCATTCAGTTGGTATGTTTGAGATGTTAATCCATATTGTAGCATGTATCAATACTTCCTTTTTATAACCAAAAAATATGTTATTGTATATATATTTTAAATTTTGTTAATATATTTGTCAATTGATGGACATAAGATTTCATTACACATTTTAGTTATTATGAATAATGTTGCTAAGAACATTTGTGTACATAAACATATGTTTTTATTTCTCTTGGCTGTCTACCTGGGAGTAGAATTGCTGGGTCATATGGTTACCCCATGTTTAATAGCTTGAAAAACTGCCAAATTGTTTTCCAAAGTGATTGTACAATTTTACATTTCCATCAACAGTATTTCTCTACATTGTCTTCAACACTTGTCATTATCTTACTTTTCAATTCAGCCATCCTAGTGGATGTGAAATGCCATTTCATTGAGGATTTTTATATTTCTCTGATGACTAATGATATTGAGCATTTTTCTGCTTTTTGATTATCATATATTTTCTTCTGATAAATGTTTATTTTTCATTTTTTATTAAATTTATTGAGGTTAGCATTGGTCTATAAACATATAGGTTTCAGGTATGGGTTTCTACATTACAAGATCTGTATTGCACTGTGTTCCCACTACCTAAAGTCAAATCTTCTCCCGTCATCATATATTAGAACCCCATTATCTCCTTAACCCCTTTCCTCTGGCAACACTGCTGTTTGTAATAAAAAGTTTGTTATATATCCTACATATGAGTTAAATCATACAGTTCTTATTTTTTTCTTACTACTTTATGTCACTTAGCATAATATTTTCAAGGTCCATCCATATTACAAATGGCAGCATTTCATCATTTTTAATGGCTGACTTATATTCAATGTGCATATGTATCACATCATTTTTGTTGTTATTAATCCTCACCCGAGGATATTTTTCAACTGATTTTTAGGGAGAGTGGAAGAGAGAGGGAAGACAGAGAGAAGAATCAATGTGAGAAAAATACACCAATTGGTTGTCTCCTGCACGAGCCTGGCCCAGGGCCCAGGCAGGGGAGAAATCTGCAACCAAGGTACTTGCCTTTGACTAGAATCAAACCTGGGACCCTGTGGCCTGGAGGCTGACACTCTGTCCACTGAGTCAAAATGGCTAGGGCTGTATCACATCTTCTTTATCCTTTCCTCTACCTCAGGACACTGGTTTTTCCCATAACTTGGACATCATGAATAATGCTGCAATTAACATAATGTTGTATATGTTTTTGCAAATACATGATTTTGAATTTTTCATGTATATATAATACTCAGGAGAGGAATTTCTGGGTTGAATGGTAACTCCACTCTTAATTTTTTGAGGAATTGCCAAACAACTTTCTGTAATGGTTGTACCAATCTACATTCCCACCATTAGTGAATGAGGGTTCCCTTTTTTTCCACAATCTGTCCAACATTTTTTATTGCTTGTCCTATTGATAATGACCATTCTAACAGTTGTAAGGTGGTATTTCATTGTAGTTTTGATTTGTAATTCCCTAATAACCAGTGATGTTGGGTATCTTTTCATATATCTATTGGCTGTTCATATGTCTTCTTGGGAGAGGTGTAATTTCAGGTTCTCTCCCTGCTTTTTCATTGGGTTGTTTTCTTGGTGTTTATTTTTATGAGTTCTTTATATATCTTGAAAATTGAACTTTTGAGCTACTGTTTCTCAATATCTCCCATCTGGTTGGCTTTTTGTTTTGTTGTCAGTTTATTTTGCTGTGCAGAAGCTTTTTATTTTGCGATAGTCCCATTCATTTATTTTTACCTTTACTTCCCTTGCCTTTGGGGTTAAATTCATTAAATGTTCTCTATAACCAAGGACCACAAGTTTTGTGTCTATATTTTCTTCTATGTAACTTGTTGTTTGGGATCTTATTTTTACATATTTGATCCATTTTTTATTAATTTTTGTACATGGGGACAAACTACAACCCAATTTCCTTATTTTGCATGTGACTTTCCAGTTTTTCCAGCACCATTTACTGAAGAGGCAATCTTTACTCCATTGTGTGTTCCTGGCTCCTTTGTCAAAAATTATTTGTCCATGTGGCTATATAGCCAGGCTCTCTATTCTGTTCCTTTGATCTACATGTCTGTTTTTCTGCCAATACCATGCTGTTTTGATTATCATACCTCTGTAGTATAATTTGAAGTCAGGTACCATGATACCTCAGCTTCATTCTTTTTTCTCAGGATTGCTTTGCCTATTTGGGGTCTTTTGTGGTTCTATACAAACCTAATGATTTCTCATTCTATTTCTTTTAAAAATGGCATTGGTATTTTTATAAGGATTGCATTAAATCAGTATATTGCTTTGGGGAAAATGGACATTGTAACTATGTTGATTCTTCTAATCCATGAACACAGATATTTTTCCATTTTTGTCTTTTTCAATCTCTTTTAAAAATGCTTTGTAATTTTCAGTATAAAGGTCTTTAATTTTCTTTGTTGTGAAGCTTATTCTTAGGTATTTTATTATTTGGTTGCAATTGCAAAATAATTTTTTATTTGTCTTTCTGATGTTTTGTTGTTAGTATACAGGAAAGCAATGTATTTTGCACATTGATTTTGTTTCTTGCAACTTGACTGTATTTGCTTATTATTTCTAAATTTTTTTTTGATGGTGTCATTAGGGTTTTATATACACTGAATCATGTCATTCACAAACAGTGACAGATTTACTTCTTCCTTTCCTATTTGGATGCCTTTTCTGTCTTTATTTTTAAATATATTTTATTGATTTTTTTTATAGAGAGGAAGGGAGAGGGATAAAGAGCTAGAAACATCTATGAGAGAGAAACATCGACCAGCTGCCTCCTGCACACCTCCTACAAGGGATGTGCCTACAACCAAGATATATGCTCTTGACCAGAATCAAACCTGGGACCTTTTAGTCTGCAGACCCCATGCTCTATCCACTGAGCCAAGCTGGTTTCGGCTGGATGCCTTTTCTTTCTTTCTCTTGCCTTATTGCTCTGGATAGAACTTCCAGCACTATGCTGAATAAGTGTAGTGAGAGTGGACATCCATGTCTTTTTCCAGATTTTAGGGGAAATTTTTCAGTTTTTTATAATTTAGTATGATATTAGCTGAGGGTTTATCATATATGGCCTTTATTATGTTGAAGTACTTTCCTTCTGTTCATATTTTATTGAGTGTTTTAATAATAAATGGATGGTGTATCTTATCAAATATTTTTATGTGTTTATTGATAAGATCATATTATTTTATTCTTTTTTTTTGTTAGTGTGATGCATTATATTGATTTGCATATGTTGAACCATTCTGCGCCCCTAGAATGAGCCCCACTTAATTGGGATGTATTATTTTTTGGATGTACTGTTGTACTTGATTTGCAAGTATGTCATTAGGATTTTTGCATCTATATTCATCAGAGATATCAGACTGTAGTTTTTGATTTTGAGGTTATCCTTGCCAGGTTTTGGTTTCAGAATTATATTGGCCTCATAGAATGAGTTAGGAAGTGTTGCCTCTTCTTAAATTTTTTGGAACAGTTTAAGAAGAATACATTTTCAATATTTCTAAACATTTGGTAGAATTCACTGGCGAAGTCATCTGGCCCTGGATTCTTCTTTTTTAGGAGAGTTTTTTATGTTTTTCGCTTTCCTCACTACTAATTGATCTACTAATATCTAGATTTTCTAATTCCTCACTATTTAGTCTAGGAAGGTCATATATTTATAGGAACTTACATTTTTCTTATAAGTTATTAAATTTGGTGGAATATACTCTTTCATAATATTCTTGTATGATGCTTTGTATATCTGTGAAGTCTGTGGTGACTCTTCTCTCTCATTTCTGATTTTGTTTGTATGGTTCTTTCCTTTTTTCCCCCTTAGTTAATCTAGCCAGGGGGTTGTCAATTTTATTAATATTTCAAAAGAACCAGCACTTTGTTTTATTACGTTTTTGTATAGTATTTTTTGTTCTCTATTTCATTCAATTCTTCTCTAAATTTTATTATATCATTTCTTCTAACTTTGGGTTGCTTTTGTTCTTCTTTTTCTAGTTCTTTAAGATGTGATGTTAAATTGCTTACTTGAGATTTCTGTTGTTTCTTGAGATAGGCCTGTAATGATATAAACTCCCCTCTTATTACTGAGTTTGATATGTTGTATTATCATTCTCATTTGTCTCATATATCTTTTTATCTCATATTTTATTTCATCCTTGACCGTGTCATTTTTTAGTAGTATGGTATTTAATTTCCTTCTAATTTTAAGGCATTGTAGTTGGAGAAAATCCTTGGCATAATTCCAGTATTCTTCAACTTGTTTATACTAGTTTTGTGACCCAACATATGTTTTATCCTTAGAATATTCCATGTACACTGGTGAAAAATGTATGATTGGATGTTCTGGGATGAAAGGTTCTGTAAATGTCAATTATGCCCATTTGGTCTTGTGCTTCATTTTAGGCTGATATTTCTTTATTGATTTTCTGTTAGTTGATCTGTCTAGAGCTATCAATGGAGTATTAAGGTCCCCAACTATAATTGTGTTTTGATATGTTACTCCCTTTAGTTCTGTGAGTATTTGTTTTATATATTTATTTGCTCCCTGGTTTGGTCCATATATATCAAGAAGTGTTATGTTTTATTGATGTAGTATGCCTTTTATAATTATAAAGTGTTCATTTTTGTCTCTTGTTATATTTTTTATCTTGAAATCCACTTTATCTGATATAAGTATGGCTATACCTGCTTTTCTGTGAATGATATTTCCTTAGAGCATCATTCTTCACTCTTCTACTTTGAATCTACTTTTGTCTTTGTAGCTCAGATGTGTCTTTTATAGGCAGCATATTGTTGGGTTTTGATTTTTAATCAACTCTGCTATTCTGTGCCTCTTTATTGGTGAATTCAGACCAGTTATATTAGGGTAATTATTGATGTACAAGGATTTCCTCAGCAATTTTATATTTTGTTTAATAGTAGCTCTGTGCCTCCATTGGTTCTTTTCTTTTGTGCTTCTGTCTATTGTTTTTGTTTTATGGTATTCCATACTGCTTTCCTCTGTTTCCTTTTTTTTTTTCTTTATGTTGTGTGCCCTGGTTTGGGGATTTTAGTTTTATAGAAAATAAAGTTGCATATATAAAGCAGGTATTTTTTTTCCCTTTGGAGTGCATGTGATCTTCATCATCCTATGCCCATTCAGACCTTTCCTTCCCCCTTTATGTTTTTTGTTGTCACAAATTATCCCTTTTATGCTATAAAGTTTTTTTGTGATCTTACTCTTAGTGCTGTGCCCTTATTGTTCTTTCTTTTATGTAGAATAGCTTCCTTGAGTATTTTCTTTGATGGATGGTTTCTGGTGATAAAATCCTTCAGCTTCTGTATGTCAGGGAATGTCTTTATCTTTCTTTCATATTTAAAAGATAATTTTGCTGGATATATTATTTTTGGCTGGTAATTTCTCCCTTTTATATGTTTGAATATTTGGTTCCACTCTCTTCTGGCTTGTATAATTTTTTCCAGAAGCTGGACGAAATTCTGATAGGTTTTCCTTTATGGGTCACTTCCTTCTTTTCCTTGACTGCTTTGAGAATTTTTTATTTGTCATTAATTTTTGACAGCTTTAAAACTAAGTGCTTTGGAGAGGACCTCTTTGGATTGAGGTAACTAGGTGTTCTGTTTCCTTCTTGGATTTGAGGATCTAGTTCCTTTCATAAATTTGAGAAGTTCTCCTCTCTTCTACTACTACTAAATAGACCCTCCATTACTTTTATCCTCTTTTTCTTTCTGGTATACACATTATTCTTATATTGCTCTTTCTAATGACATCTGATCTTATAGAGTTCTTTCATTCTTTCTTTTTACTCTCAAATCTCTCTCTCTTCTTCCATCTTTGTCAGTCTTGGATATCTGTATTTGACATCATTAGTTCTTTCCTCCTCATCAGCTCTATTTCCTAAGCTTGCTATATATATATATATATATATATATATATATATATATATATATATATATATATATTGTTTATTTCAGTTTTCATCTTTTTTTGAGTTCTTCAACTCCAGAATTCTATTTGGTTCTATTTTTAAGTTTCAGTCTCTTTGGTAAAGTACTCCTTTTGTTCATTATTTTATTTATGAGTTGACTAATCTACCTATCCATGTTTTCTTTTATCTCATTGAGCTTTTTAAGAATTGCTGTATTGAATTTCCTGCCATTTAAATAACATTTTTCCATATCTTTGTTTATTTCATAGACATTTTTCATTTTCTGTCTTAACTGTCTTGGTGCCTTGGTTATTAATTATATTTGATGGATGATATCTCTGTTTAGGCATTGATAGGAATGAATTTTGCTTTTTCAAAAGAATGATTAGCACTTTATTTAGCAGCATGATAAGAAGAGATCTTTGTTTTGTTTTCCAGTTGGTGGTACTTAAACACAGAATTTTACTTCTTGTACCGCGAGGCTTCTGGGATCTATGTAGGGTGATGGAAAATGTCCTGTCCATGAGGAATTGAACATCTTCTCTGTGACCATGACACATCTGTCTTAGGGCACGAACCTTTTGGGGGAATGTGGTGGGATATGGGGTTCTAAGCCCATGAAATCCCAGTGCTATCCTATGCAACCAGTCACTGCCCAAGATGTTGCAGGTACCCCCACTGGTTTGCACTGGTTTGCACTGTCATGGGTGTAGGTGTGTTGGACTGCAGGAGGCTGGCTCCTGCATTTGTGCCTTTTTTCTTCTCCCAGAGCTCAGCTGTCAGACTGCTGTTACTGGGATTAGGCATGGCATTCACCTGCCACTCAAGAGAGAAGTGCTTCTTCATCTCCAGTTCTTAGGGATGCAGAGAATGTGTTCTGTACACATGCTCACAGCTACAGCTTCTTTTGGACCCCTACTAGCTCTGATAGGGTTAGGGAAAGCATGCTCTGCATGGTTGAGGGAAGGTGGCCAGGCTCTATGGCTTTGTTTTCTGACAATGGTGGCTGATAGACCACAGCTGCTGCACCTCTGTGTTCTGTCTCTGCTCCAGTTGCTGGGTTCAGCTGCAGTATGTGCTGACCACTCAGACAGGAGTGTTGGTTCTACCTCGCTATTCCTCAGGGCTGCTTAGAGTGTACACTGCAACCTGATTTCCCCCCCACCCCCACCCCCACCAAGACCTACAATGAGCTTTGGGCTGTGCTTGTGGCACCCATCTTTGCTCACATCCCCTCCTACCCTATTCACTTTGATTCACACTCCCACCCCTTTCAGATGTTTCACTGCAAGGATATCTCAGACATGTTTGTGTGTTGTTGAGCAGGAAAAATCCTTTGTTGCATTATAACTTCTACCTTTTGTATCATTAAGAGGAGAAACAAAGAGAACCCCTCATGCCACCATTCTTCTTTGATTTATTTAAGCTTCACAATAATGTTCCACTTTCTCTTCTTAATAATTTGAGTCTTGTCTCTGTTTGTCTTAATCAGTCTAGCTAAAGACTTGGATTACAACTTTTTATTTATTTTTTTAATAAGTAGCTTTTGGTTTCATTGATTCTCTTTTTTTTAATTCTGTTTCATTTTCTATGTTCTAATCTGTATTATTTCATTTTAACTTTATATTTAACTTGCTCTTCTTTTTCTAGTTCTTTAATTGTAAAGCTAATTTATTGATTCAGATTTTTTTTTCTATATAACGTAAGCATTAACAGCTATAAATTTCCCTCTGATCACTGTTTTTACTAGATTTCATCCCTTTTAGTATAATGTGTTTTCATTTTCTTGTATGTCAAAGGATTTTCTAACTTCCCTTGTAGTTTGTCTCTGACCCTATTAGTGTTTTAGGAGTGAACTTTTAAATCGCTACGTAATTGTAATTTTCCAGTTTTTCTTCTGTTATTCATTTCCAGTTTCATCAGAGTTGTTCAAGTTTTCCATGGCCTTGTAAATCTTCTACCTAATCATTCTATTACATAATATGGGATACTGAAGTTTCCAACCAGTACTATTATATTGTATTTTTTCATTAATTTATGTCAGTTTTTTCTTTATGTATTTTGGTAGTCTACTACCCTGTTTCCCCGAAAATAAGATAGTGTCTTATATTAATTTTTGCTCCCAAAGATGCGCTAGATCTTATTTTCAGGGGATGTCTTATTTTTCCATGCGCTAGGTCTTATTTTCTGAGAATGTCTTATTTTCAGGGAAACACGGTATTAAGTGAATGCATATATTCATGATTATAATACCTTCTTCATGAGTTGATTGTTTATCATTTTTTATGTAGAACTGAATCAAACAGATTATATTCAACTTTTTTAAAAAGGATGAGGAAAACAAGTCATAGAAATGTACTACAATCTCAAACCATTTTCAATGTTTTATAAAATGCTTACACAACAAATATGAAAAGTTACAACACACTCATAACTTCTGCTGCAATAAATGCAACATTAACAAACATACAAATTTTTTCTGTACCAATCTTAGAAGTACAAATACTGAGTTACTACTTTTTGTTATTCACATATATTTTTATTCATGACTTTTAATGAGATTATTGCCAATATGCACATTATTTTCCTTAACTTTATTTTTACATTAAGCAAATGTCTGTCATGCAGCCATCAAAATCCTCACAGTAAATTACACAGGATTGTAGTCTAATTTTAACTCTAGCTTCTTAGAATCAGCTACTTTTCTGACTGCTTTCATTAAGTCTTTCTATACTACAAAATCATGATCAGCACAAACTGCAAACATACCTGCTTCAGTACAAACATTTCTAAGGTCTGCTCCATTAAAACCATGTGAAAGCTTCACAGTTGCTTCATAATCTATTTCACCATGCTTTGTAATGGAACCTGCATGGATTTTCAATATACCTAATCTTGCTTGTTCATTTGGTAAGTCAATATGTATTTTTCTATCTAATCTTCCTGGATGAAGGAAAGCAGGATCCAGTGTATCTGGTCTGTTTGTAGCCATGATTGTTTTAACTCTATGTAGAGTAGGGGTGTCGAACTCAATCAGAGAAGGGGCCAAAATCTAAAATCCAGCCTAAATCGCGGGCCGAATGGTTTACTGCACAGTCATAAACTGTCATTGTGATGGAAACGCAGTGGAGTGCAGTGATGACAGCGCGGTGCGGGCCACATTGCAAGGCCTGACGGGACGGATTTGGCCCGCGGGCCTTGTGTTTGACACATGTGATGTAGAGTATCAAATCCATCAATTTGATTTAGTAACTCCATTCAAGTTCTCTGAATCTATCAGCTGAAGTACCCTCAAAAAAACGACACCCACATCTATTTCATCCATAAAAATAATGGTCTCTGGCATAATTAAACATTTCTCTGATCAAACGAGCACTTTCACCAATGTACTTGTCTACAATAGAACTAGATACAACCTTTAAGAAGTTGCAGACTAGCTGGCTAGCAACCACTCATTCCAAGAGTGTTTTTCTTGTACCTGGTGGTCCACATAGCAAACACTCCTTTGGAGGTATTATTCCTACATGCTGGAATAATTCTGGGTTTGTAAGAGGTAATTCTATCACCTCTCTTAATTCCCAAATCTGTTCTGATAGCCCTCCAATCTCAGAATAGGACACATTCCCAGGGTCTCCATGAGACATGTAAATCAATGGATCCACCTCTCTTGGCAAATACCTCATAATGGTTAGTATAATCATATCCAAAGCAACACTTGTTCCTGGCTTCAGCTTACTTTTTTCAAGCTGTTGATGACAACCCACAATATATCTTGGTCCATTTGTAGCTTTAACAATAAATTTTTCTTCAGTTAACTGCTTAAGTACTTCACCCATAATCTGTCTAACACTTTGTA